TAAATATGTATGTTTATCTGCATAGAGATTGATAAATATGTGTGTTTATCTGCATGGAGCTGAACCCTGAAGTTTTTTGTTTTTGTTTTTTAGCTCAGTTTTGTCAGCATGTCAAACGAAGGAATTCGGCGAAAATGCAGTGCTTAATACTTTATTCTTATTTTTTGTTTGCTTATTTTTCAACATGGCGGCTATGAGGCAACGCAGACACCAAGAATTATGTGAAACCAAGTCCATTATTTTAATAGTTTGGAATTAATACTTCAAAAAATATGGCTCCTGGATGCAGCGACAATTCTTTTCTCTGTTTTTGCATAATAAAAACCTGCATGGTTGATCTGCAATCCTTAGTACAATGAAATAAAAACAGTAAGACAGTGGCAGCTGTATTTCACATTATGGAAAATACATAAACATAACATATTGTGTTAGTAGTATAAGGCCGTAGTTTATTAATCTGTCTCTTTTTAATGAAGTGATTATGAATATGAGTTCGCGACGCCAAGACGCAATAGATAAACAATGAACTCGAATTATCACTAGCTATAGWTTCAGTTTAATTGTGTCCGAAGAATTCAAGACAAAATTCATATAAGTACATATATATTTCACATTTACAATAGTTGTGTCTGATCTGTATAGGGATACCCGGTGGGGGGGTAGGGGGGTAGGGGGGGGTTGTTACTCCCGCCAAACTTGGGTGGAGGTGTGCCGCTGGGACATCAAAACCCTGATCCTGTTCCAGAGAAAATCCAGCACTAGCCTGCGTGTAGACCGAATTTTTACCCCGTGAATTTTTRCCCAGCATYAATAATTCCGGAATTATTCCTGACCCTGTTCCAGAGAAAATTCATTGAAATCGATAGCCTGTTCCAGAGTAAAATCCGTCGCTAAAAACGATACCCAGTTCCAGAGTAAAATCGCTGAAACGATACACTGGTTGGCGGCACGTCCCCGTATAGCGAATATAGGGAACACTGAGTTATTTTCAGAAAACGTTGAATAGTGAAGAAAGTKTATTCCAATTTACCGCAATGCAATGTTCAAAGCCGTTCAAAAGCCAGGACTAGTTTTCATTGTTTCAGATCGACTATACCACCAGCTACTTGCAATCAAGTTTATGATTGCCATTTTCTGACGCAACAAACGTGAAGTTTAATAGCAACAATCG